GCAGGAGGAGAATTATGAATGCGTCTGGGTTTAGCAGCTCTGGATGCAATTTTAAGCTCAGCGTTAGTCTCACAGAGCATTTTTAAAGACAACTTTTTCAAAGAAAATAAAGTCTACGTTGATATTGAAATTAAATCCAGACTTAACAGAGCAGAGAAGAATTCAATAGTCATAATCCTCCTTAAAACACTGGAAACATTGTTTAAGTTGGTAAGTTGCAAATGAGAAAATAAAAGGCCAAATACTGCCCTTGGGTTCTAAGTTAGTCTCCATTATTTTCTTTTACAGCTTGGAAAAGACTTCCTACTATTTCTTGTTCATTTAAGACCAGAAACTTATCATTAAGACACGGGATGTTAGGCCTGAACGCTCCTTTTTGATTTAAGGAGGGAAATAAACCTCTTTGTAGGTGCCCATACAAAAAGGATATGCGGCAACCACGAGCTTCCTAAACACAGCCTAAATACTTGCAAAAACATTTCACACACACACAAAGCATAACAGAACGTGGCCCGTACTGCCAAAACACACAGTTCAGCACAGCTCCTGCGAAGATACGCTCCCCACACTACAGCAGATGAGAACCAGGCTTCTGCAAATTCTCTCCTGTGCTAATTTTAGCCACTTGCATTTCAAATTCTCTTGCATGCTTTTCTGAGGGACAAGTGGAGGCTCTTCTGGATGTCACAAAAACAAAGGCAGATATTGGCCTCTTTTGAAGAGTTTGACTTACCTGTGTCGGTCCTAGGTGCCTCATCAGTAACTACAGGTAAGCCAGACGCAAAGAAATCCATTATAGTCGCATAAATATCTGGTTTCAGTAAGTTCCAATCCAGGTCTTCACTCTCCTACAAGAATCAGAATCAAAAAAATAATGAATAAAAACAGAGTACCTGCCTCTTAACAATACGTTACGCACAGACTCTTCTTATGCTAAAAATACCATAATGGGCTCACACGTTTGATGCGTGGATTTGATTTCAAAGTTTTGGTGAAGCTGGACTTGACAAAAAAGTTTAGTAAGACTCAATTTATAACAGTCAACAGAACGGTTTCCTTGTTTGCAAGCCAAGTGCTATTAAAATACTAGCTAAGAAGAGGTGAAAAATAAAGTCTCCCAAATACGTCATTTGACAGATATTTTTACCAAGCCGTTTCAGATTCAAGTTTGTTTGGTTCCATTTAGTTTTGGAGTCAAATTCTCATCCACTGGATCGCCCTGTGCTCTTCACACACG